TTTTCAAGGAAATTTATGCAAAAATTATCTGGAGATGGGTAAAAAATAACAAAAGGGTAAAAATAGGTAAAAAGAATTTCATGCACGAGCTTTCACAACTGGCATTATCATACCTCATTGTTAGTGCATATAAACGATAAAGTATAATGTCACGAAGATTTACCTACCTATAACAGATGGCATACGCTTGTTTGAATTAATGATAAGAAGGGCACAGAGGAACCAATCCATTCCACAGATGGTGGTCGCTATGCAAAAGCTTGCCCCGAATCGCGCGGTCTGGCAACAGTGTCTTTAGTATGGAGAATTCAAATTGTTACTTTCACGTGAATTTGAAGAACTCAATGAAACAGATTTGATTCAAATTTAAATCACAAAAGGGATAATTGATAGCAGTTGCCACCCTTAGGTGCAGATCTTATTTGCAATCGTACGAAAGCCATAAATTTTCGACAAGGTCTTCCTTCAACGTGCAACTGGAAATATGTTGAAACCCGCACAAGATGGCTGAACGTTGGTAAGCCATTCTATCGTCTGCAGAGAGTGGTTAATGAAGACATTATGCATCGCGTAAGAATACGAGTAAACTGAGCCTAAGGGAGATTGTCCATTTTTGCTACGAGTGGCCTAACTAAGCCCTCACGTTATTTACGACGCACGTTTCCAAACGTCAACAAAATGTAGTCACTGTTGATGCTCCATGGTTTATGACCCTCCCAAAAATGCGACCGTCACTAAACAAGATTTGGAGAAATGGTTTACGACAATGACAGAAATGTTTCCATGGAGCCCGTGGTAGTTTACGAGTGGCGTACACCGGACCCCAAACCTGCCGTAAATCAACAAGAAATGTGAAATGTTGACGGGTCAGAGCCAAATCTGACTTTAATTCTCACGGGTATACTTGAAATCAACGGGAGCATACCATTCGCACATTTAATTGGAAATATTCGCCTGGGAGGTAAAATTCATGGAATAAACCAACACGTGCGAATCATAAAGTGGCCCGTGACATTAATTTTTAACAGGGAACACAATTGTGCAACATTAAAATGCATAGAAAACTAGTTGATACCCCCATTTTAGTTTGTCGTATTGAAAAGTGCAATCTTGTAACATTTAAATTTTTCCATCCTTTCTTCACAATTAGGGCGCCATGGTGTGATATTATTGAAGGAAAATTGTGTTTATGTTTTGGGAATTTCATTTCCAGATTGATAACCCAAAATATGCTCATTTAAAAATATAATTAGGGAAACATTACGAACTGGGCCTTTGTCATGCACTGAAACAAAATACATTTCTGCATTTATGCCGTTCATTAACCACTCACCGTAATACGTTTGTTACAAATATGACGGAAACGGATCAGTTTAAATACGTTCGTTATCTGTCAATGTCTGTGTTATTTCCAAAACTTTAGGGATGATCGTGCATTTAACGAAGCTTTACTGATGGGGTTTTGATTTGCTGTTGGCTGAAAATGGCCTAGGATTACGATGCCTCCAAAAACATATCATTTTTCGCGTTGCAGTGTTTGCGAACTATGCTGAACTAAAATTCTCCTGAGTCCCATAATACTTACGTATCTTTTGCTGGAAGGTTAGGAGATGTGAATATTTTTTGAAGGCGAGCATACAAAAGTGAACACGACAAAAAGGCTAATATAAGCCACGGGCACACTTTATGCAGTATCCGTTTCGGCTTCAAATCGAAATTTGCCTTCCCCGTTGTCGATGGCTCCTGTCCGTGTTTTAAAGACCCTGAACACGAGCCCAATTCAATTTTGCGCTGAGTGATGGTGATCAAACATACGTATCAATAGATTTCGTTCAGCCTGCGATCATTATAGCTACTTTGAATTCAGATTTTCACTCCATGAAGAAGCAGTGGTGGAAACCTACTTGTATGTACACTACATTTGGCTATTCCTGTACACGTGCATGTGTATCATCGGCACCACCACAACCTTTCTCTTCACCACCGTCCTTCACCACCGCAGCCTAACTGCTTCATCAGCACCAATTGACCCTTATCACCACCGTCAACGCTGTTTCTGCTACCACCGCCAATACCATCCTCATCATCACTTCCAAACCCTTACCATCAACTTTTTCACCACTATCACCATGGTAACCTGTTTGAAAGTCACCGGAGTTTGTCGCGACCAAGTTGGTATTTCAGCAATATGTGAAAGTCCATTGCATCGCACAAAACTCCAAATTGGAAAGGAGACTTTCCGAGATTTTGCCCCGCCTGATTCAATGTGACATTTTAATGGTCCGATGTAAAACTCATTCAAGTCCCATTGTGGAGAGATAATCCCCTCGCTAACCCGATTCTTGTCGGCATTCAAATCAAACGAGAAAGCGGTATTACTGCTGGCTCCTGAACCATATAATTCGACAGAGAAAGGTAAAAAATAACCCTCTATGTCACATTTTATACAGGTCGAGTATTGAATTTGACAGCAAGGACGGTGCTCAAGTGAACCGGTCTTTGTTCTGGACCCCTTTCTGTACAATGATATCCTAATTTCCTCGGGGGATTCTGACTAAAAGCACCGCTGCGGTGGCTTGTACTTCTCAGCACTGAGGTGAAGTCGATGGCTGATCTGTTGCTACGGGACAAGGCGGCGGTATCAAAATCTTGTAGGACTGCTTTGCAAGACTTTCTCTACTAGCATGGGGTTACAGAAGAGCAGGATTAAAGTTCCTTTTTCGTTTTCGTAATTTAGGTTTCTGGTCTAAATTACACTAAATATAGACGATACAGGGTATCCAGTGAAATCTGATATTTTTCTGTCCAAAGAATGACAAACAAAGCGAAGGTAAATTAAAAGACAAAATAATTATAAGTCCACCTAAGTCTCAAACTAAAAAGGATGAAGTGCATTTGCGCAGCCTTTTGACAATGCCATCGCGACAATGCCATCGACGAGTCCGAGACTCGGCTAGCTCAGGGAAATGTAAGACACCAGAATTACTTGATGAGGTACATGCAGCAGGTCTACAGAACCGGGGCTCGAATCATCAACTCCACACCTGAGTCGGTCTTTTTCAAAAAATTTGAGATTTTACCCACCTGCGAGTCTGAAACTCATGTGAGGTTAACATTTGCATTTTCACAATATTAGGGCAAGTGCAATGTGTAAATGCCACGAGGGGAAAGAAACGAAAGTGGATTGAAATTCGTCAGGAAATCCCGACGTCAATGCTGCAGCTGCCACATAGATCAATAACAGGGATATTATCTCCAAGTAAATAGAAGCTCCCCCTAATTGAGTGCCGCATGAGAAAGCGAAATACAAATGCGTTTCACAGCTGCCGCAAAGCCCTGATCGTGATCGCCGGGTTGGCCTCGTAATTGCTGTATGACAAACAGACTGTGACTGTCTAAATCGTACGGAGTCCGCATTAAGTTGATGAGCTTTTTTAATGATATGCAGATGGCAACGATGTAACTTGCAGATGATTTCCTTAAATGCAGATGCCCGAGTAGTCTATGTATGCTGTTGTATCTACTCTTATATCTGTCAGTGTTCTGAATGACCGTTATTCATTGATACAAGTGAAGGGGCCAATGGCAGCCTTGTCCCGCCAAGTAACAGATCCTAAAGCAATGAGAGACTTGGCTATTGTTTGCATGTATTTTGTCCTCCTTCCTTTTAACAGCAGGCAAATGCCTCCAAATGTAGCCTCATCTCTCAGAAAGACCCTTAGTACCGTCAGTGTTACGCATACATAAAAAAAATCAAAAAGTGTCCCCCCCCCAAAAAAATAGGTTCTGACTCTTTGTGTAAAGTATATTATTCTGCATTGGGGATCAGAATTTTTAGAATGAGTTTTTAAAAAGTAGCTAGACCATCAGATGTGTCCAGAGCAATTTTATTGGGGGGGGAGGGTTGATCACAAAAGTGGGTGAAGGCTGCGAAATGTCATCCGACTCCAGAGGTTGTATCAGACGGTTCACGGACAGTGAAAGCATGTCGCTGTGCGGCCAACTCGGGCATTTCGTCACTTAACCTTACAGTTGTCACGCTTACAACCGCACTGCACGTGACTGCCGAGGCTGACCAAGTTCAGAAACGTCTGTGCGTTATAACCGCCCTATTCGTTGGGAGGAATCGATAACGACGGACCCCGTGGACAAGCGACACATAACCTCTTATATACACAGTCCTGAAAAAAATTGATGCCACCAATGACTACTAAATAGTGAACAATATCGATCCATTTAAACAGCCACATTTTGCGACACTCAGTGAAAATTTGAAAACTAATCCACGACCTTAGGTCCCATTGCAGGGGCAGATCCAGAATGTTTTTCTGGGGCTTTCAAAATTTTTCGCGTTATTGCATTTGTCGCCGTTTTGAAGCCATTTTATCTCTTGGTTTTGTCCTTAACAGCACACGCGAATAAGACCCCTGCAGGGTTTATGCTTTTAGGGGCTTGTTAGTGGGCTTGAAACGTTTAGACCGTAGGGGAAAATTGCCACGTGTGTTTGTGGGGGGGGGAGGAGTGATCCCACCCCCTGGATCCGCGCCTGTATCTGCCAATGTAAGGCAGGGCCCGTCAAACCATGGAGCCAGGACCAACAGAAGGGGCGGCAGCCTGGGCGACGGGACTGCCCTAGCCCTTACGAGGTTCATGCCAAAGTACGCTACTAGACTGGGCTGTCGTGTAAAGGAACGGAAACTCTTCAGTTTTTTAGTGTGCGAGGGACGGCAAATGTGATAACAAGATGTCAGCGTTACCATTTGAAATACCACAGTTCTAGAGACATAGGACCCATTCAGTGCTCATCAATTAAACCACCCTTAAATTATACGTACATGTCAATCGATATCAATAGAGTAACATGGAGGTAGAAAACAAGCGCGGGGTTAGGGAGAAAGGAAGAGGAACAAATTCATGCCATTGCCGCGCTGCGCGGCTTGGTGAACATTATTTTAGTGCACATGTACACCGCCCTCATTTGTTCAGAAATGTTCATGGAAATGGCGGCGGGCACATGTGGATAACTGGTTTGACACATTTTTCAAACCAAATAAAAATCAGAAAAAAATTAAGGTGATTCAATCAACCTTGAATTTGAAACATGATAATTGGCAATTGCAAGTCCCGACGGATAAACGTAAATCATTTAAATGGAGGTAAGCTGTTTCTTCCTTCATTGTCCTTTACCCATCATCATCATGTCCATGCACGTATCACATGCACGACATGATGTCATAAGCCTTATCGCAAATACTGGCACTGCATATGGGTGACTTTGCACAATGGTAGAAAGGCATTGTGGAAAGGGAAAGGGAGTAAACATTGCCCCTTTTTCCTTCCAATATTGCCTTTCTACCATAGTACAATTTTGCAAAATCACCCATGCAGTATTTTATTTGCCATTCATGGATGTCTCTAGCTGACTAACAAGTAACATATCTGAACTTACATTACAGTCATTAGGCCTACCTGGTTACACATACACTTTCAAAGTATACTGCGGCCATATATTTGTGTGTAGGCCTACACTTAAGTTCTTAACCATGCTAATGTTACTTTGAGTAACTCCATTCCTAATATCAGGTGTTTGTTAGCCTTTGACAAGCATGAAAAGTTTGGGGCTAGGAGTAAGCAGGTAGGAGCAGAGTATAGGCATGATAGGCCTATCATGTAGGCCTAGGTGTACATGTACATGTACATCAGTATCATGTATGTACCGGCTACATGCCCACTCTTTCTGACATGACTGATAATGATATGCCGTTTGCCAAACTGCAGCTGTATGGGTCTGATTATGCTTTTGACATTTTGGGGTCTGAGTCCCAATGATGACTTTTCTGTGTGGTTGACATTCTGATCAAAAATCCTATATCCGATTGAGGGTGAATTTGTGAAATTTTGTACTTGATGAATGGCCATGATGGAAGTGTTGAGATTTTTCAAAAACATACGTTCGTGGAAAGGAAAACTCAGGGAATTAAAGTTTTGGCATGATAAAGTAACTACTCTGGTAGGCCTAAGTGATTTGTTATGTGGATGAAAATCTGGCAAAGCAGTGAATGACTTGTCAGATATTTCTTCTCTTTTTTTCTATATTTGCGAGCCTGAGGAACTTTCTGAACAACTTACATGCGCTTACATGTATTTGATTTCCATTAGCCTACCATCCACAGCATGGCTTGGTGTGGACAGATGGCCAGTGTGTCAACCTGTCAATCATATCTGTCAATCATGACGATGTCATTGCATCGCCTCCCACCATCCTTGGCCAGTTTGAGTGAGTATCGCCATTGGTGCAACAGGTGTTGCTGGAGGTTTCATCCTTGATGTTTTGCAACTCTAAAAAACAGACAAATCTAACAAATGAGTCACAAGTCACTAGAACTACTTTTGAGTTAAAAGCCTTTAACCACTTAGAGCCGGGTGTCCCCCGAATGCCGACCCATTCTTCTAATTCACACATCTGGGTGGCCTACATGTAAGTTGGGGACTGGAATGACTGCTATGAGTCACCATAGGCTGTGATCGTATTGTGAAGTACAATGGCATGAAGGACCGCAGCGCTGTAAGCCAGCCGGGCCGACGAACGCATCGTCCAGCCCACCCATTGTTTGTCATTCCTGGGGGCAGAAGGCAAACAAAGAAGCTGTTATGTAACACCATAATAGACATAATAATGGTGACAAGTATGGTGAATATGAATGTCAAAGTCAAAATCATAAAAGCACCCCCCCCCCGTCAGCTTGTGATTCAAGAGACTGTTTTACCCAGCGTCAAGTGGTTAAAGCAACACAATGTAAATCAGTAGAAACTTAGCAGTTAACAGTAGTTAACATTTTTCATCCACATGATGACCATTTTTCTAGTCTGGATGCGTTGTCAACTGTGTGATATTTCAAAACAGAGAGCTCATTTGGATCCTTCTAATGGAAACTGAAATAAAAAATCTGTATGTATTCAGGAAATGGCTTGAAGATGTATCTGGTGAGATCTGATCACATACGATAAAACATACAACAACAGAAACGATGCTGCTACTGTGTGCCAAGAGTGTGCCCTTTCCCATAATTTGCCTTATCCATAATCATCTTGCAGTTGATCGGTGATTTTTAGTGTTGAATTGCAGTTGTAGTACCACACAAGACAGGTGTATAGGAAGCCTTGTATCCACAGTACTGGTTCATGTAGAGACACTGTTATTGTCACACCAGAAATTCCAACTAAAATCACACACTGACACCGAACCCTCCTTGCCTTAAAATGTCGGGTCCTTGTGCAAAGAGAACACTGGTTGGTCTGTGAATTCGACTCGAAACATGACTGGCGGAAAATGTCTTGTGACCTGGACTTCTATAGAAAAATGACTTGATTACAACACGTATCCCCGAAAATGCAAGTTGAAAGTGCCATCGATCCCATAAACATTTCAGATTGTTGACTGCATAACTAACCCTACCTGGGAGGGTGTGTGAAAAATTGTATTGGACTTAGGTGACGGAGGATTGTTGGAGCTAATTTAACCCTAATCCTACCAGGTCCTTCAAAGCGTACAGGAGGGTGACAGGACTTTTAAGCATTGAGGGAGATAGAAAATAGTATAGTCATTATTCCTGGAATTTTTATTCCTGAAAGTAAATTTGATGCACCAGTGGCTTCTTTCACATTGGAGGATTTAGTTTTCTGTTTTATTTATTTGATTCTGTAATTTTTGTTAAATATCAACCTTTGATATGGTGCTCTTTTTTCAGTTCTGTCGAGCATGCAGCTTGGAGTTCGGGTACCACACCTTGTTACCTAAGCATTCAGCAAGTGACCTGCATCACAGTATGGAAGGTTGATAAGTGGTATGTAGCTTAACAAGCCAGTAACCATTTCTTGGAAAAATAAAGCCTTTTGGTTTTTGTGAAGCATTGAAAGCATTTATTCTCCTTTTGTTTTTGAAGAGGCCCTGACTTGGTGTTAAGGGTGGTATTTCATGAAGTGATTAAGCTCAAAAGTGTTATA